TACATGCTTATATTTTATATATTAATTTTTTGTGTATTAATATATTATACATTAACATATCGTGTATTAATATATGATACATTAATATATCGTGTATTAATATATTCTACATTAATATACATTAGTATATCGTATATCAAAATTATAATATATAAAAAAATATAATAATTAAATATATAAAAATTCTTTCTCTCGTACGAAACGATGCGAGCGCGAAAATAATTCGCGAACAGGAACCATTTTGTAAAATTCTTTTCTCTTGTCTGTTGCAGGTAAGTGAAACACGATAGTCGGCTACGCCAGCGATGATTTCGAAGGGCCCAAAAGGATGCCTCGTTCAGGTATTTATCCCTCGACCGAGGTGCAATCAATAATTAAGCAGAGAAACACGTCGAAAGATTCGAAGAACGCGGTTCGCGTCGTCTCTTTGACATTTAAGAAAAATAATCTATATTTTATTGGAACCGCGTGGACAGTAACCGAAATTAAATCGCGCCCCTTTTCACGACGAGAGGAGACTTCTTTGAGGCTCGCCCTTTTGTTTCATCATCCCCCGGCCCCGCCCCGCCGCAAGGAAAAGGTTTCCCCGGAGAATGGATGCTCGTCGTATCGGTATTTAATCTAGAGACTTCGCTTCGCATTCTCGGCAGCTCCTTCTCCACCCCCGGCTTTCGGTAACTACTCACGTGTGTACACGGCTGTGTTTGTAATCGTTCGCAGTATCGGTGTTTCTCATCACGCTCGGCCTTTCGTTTATTTCATCCCTCTTCCCATTGTGCTAGAAAACCGTATTCGACAGGAAACTATGGTCATTCGGGGAACTACGGGGCTGCGAACCAGCCACCCTTCCGCACGGTGTCCTCGGATTCTACGTCGGAAACCACGTCCGAAATGTGGTGCGAGCTTTTTCGATTCCGTGGTCCCCGTTCTCGAGACAATTTGACTCGAAAATCCAAAAAACAAGATGGCCGGAATGTACATTTCGATTTGAATATAACCGTGCGATATGTCATCGGATTCTACGCCTAAAACCACGTCGAAATTGTGGAATACTGTTTTTCGATACTGTGCCCCGTTCTCGAGAAAATCGAATTCCAAAATTCCAAAAAACAAAGTAGCAAGAGTATAAATGCGATTTAAATATAGCCGTGTGGGGTGTCCCACGTTTCCGCGTCGCAAACTGCGTCGAAAACGTGGTATAACATTTTCGGCAACGAGGCCGCGTTCTCGAGATAAACGAGCTTTCGCATCATTTTCATTTCGGAATTCGTTTTTTCTCGAGAACGAAGCCTCGTATCGAAAAATTTCCTTGCACATTTTCGACGCAGATTTTCGCGCGGAATAATTCCGTGCCGGTTTTATCATAAAAGAAGAGCTCGCCTCGCAGTTATGCAAGGTTTTTCGTCATTCCCCGCGGTGTTCGTGGTAATTTATTCGCGTTTATATACCGAATACGGGCACCGTGGACGTTGAATTTGCAGATCCAGGCGCCATAAAGTATGTCAGGAAGGAGAGCATTCTCAGCATCGCGGGAAAAATGGACGTACGAATGAGTTCGCACTTGATGAACGGATGGCTGCTGGGCTGGTAGATATTTATAAAAGTCGGTTCGCGGAGGTGCGAGGAGCTGGTGGCAGCGGACGGGGGCGCGGCGCGTTATGGGTGGGCGCGTGTCGAATGGCGGGCCGAGTGAAAAAGGCGACTAAGAGGTGACGAGGGTCAAAGGATGCATTGTCGTAACGAGTCGTAAAAAAAAAGACCTGTAAAAGGTTAAAACCCCGCCGACCTGACCACGGACCCCGCCGTAGAAGAAAAAGTCCTTCAGAAGCGTGAAAGACGACGGTCTTGCGGCACCGTTTTGCCTTCAAGATCATCAGGTGTTGCACGAATGGCCGCCGGGCTCTTTCAATGCCGTCAAAAGTCCCTCTGAACCGCGCCCCTTCGACCTCCGACGTCGAAAATGAAAATTCAATTTCCGATGAAATAATTCTCGCGGTGCGTTCTCTTCGGTGCATCGTTTACAACAATTTTACGTAAAAAATAGCTGATTGTTTAAAGCATAAAAGAAAAATATGCACCGTCGGAAAACCGCTGCGTTCGCATTTTAAATATTTTTTCTTCCAGAGCCACGAGTTCTCGAGATATTTTCGACGAAACCACCCCTAACTTCGAGGGTCGTTTTCTCCCGCTTAGAGCGATCGATTCGGAAAGAAAAAAATCCCAGTTGTACAGGTTCTCGTGGTCTACGTCACGGTTGAATTTCGTGAAAATCGACGGAGGGCGGATATTCGTAAAAAAAAAAAGAAGAAGTTCCGTGAAAAGGCGATGTTGTTTTCTTAACCGTTGATGTACGCGGAAAGGTTATGGTCGGAAGTTGCACACTTCCAGAAACTTTCGGCGAACGTTAGCACGAGCTACGTAATTCACATCTCGCGTCAGCCAAGGCCCCTGTATAAGTAAAGTACACCTACGTGAAGTTTTTCCTAAATGAACTCCGTAATTTAATGCGACGTGTGAGCGTTCACTGTCGTATTTCATGACTCGAACAATATCGTTACGTAACCCGCTACGCTTTTAAAGTAGACGTATACGTGTTTCCTTCCGGCGGAACTCGATCCGACGATAATTTTCTGTAATCGACCGCAACCGCTGTTTCTCCGTGCTAACGTAACATTACGGCCGCGTAAATTCTAACGGAGATAGCTTCTTCGGATTATCCGCTGTCGGTCCCAGAAATATTTCGATCAAAATTAGTTCGATTGTCGGAAAGCTGCTGAAAAATATACGATCGCATTCGGGAGACTCCACAGAATAATTCTACGTATTAAACGTTTGCGCAGCTGTCCCGATTCAACTGCGAAAAATTCGCGAAGTTGACATCTTGAAAATTCGATCATCGCCGGTACCGCGCTCGATTGGAACATTTTTTAAACACGGTAGAATTGTCGGATTGTTGCTAAAAAATATACGATCGCATTCGGGAGAGTCCACAGAATAATTATACGTATTAAACGTTTGCGCAGCTGCCCCGATTCAACTACGAAAAATTCTCAAAGTTGACATCTTGAAAATTCGATGATCGCCGGTGCCGCGCTCGATTGGAACATTTTTCAAACGCGGTAGAATTGTCAGATTGTTGCTAAAAAATATACGATCGCATTCAGGAGAATCCACAGAATAATTCTACGTATTAAACGTTCACGCAGCTATTGCGGTTCAACTCCAAAAAATTCACAAAGTTGACATCTTGAAAATTTGATGATCGCCGGTGCCCGCACGATTGAACAAATTTCATCAATTATTTACGTCGTTAGAAATTTTGCTAAAAAAATATGTGCTCGCATTCGAGAGGATCTACAGAATCGTTTAAATCGGTTAAATCGGATTAAACGTTTGCGCAGCTATCGCGCTTGTAACCCAAAGAATTCACAAAGTTGACATTTTGAAAATTCGATGATCGCCGGTGCGGCGATCGATTGAAACATTTTTCGAACGCGTTAGAATCGTCGGAAAGTTGC